AAAACTGTAATCTTTAATAGTCAATAGTAGAGGAAGATTATCATTCAGTGTTCTGTTATTTAAATTACCTCTATAAGTGGATTGTTTCTTAAAATATTTCTGTTTTCATCTTCCTCACTGGGAGGTTTTTAGACATTGGAAGATACAGAATCTTATTTTCACCAGACAATCTAATTTTCCTGTATTCAACGTCCAGTATACTTTGTGGAAACGCTTTGACAATTACATAAAGTTGGCTCCCAAATCCACTCCTGAACATTTAAATGGATTACACTAATTTTCAGAAGTGCTCAGCAGCTCACATTAAAGTTAGGAAATATTTATTCCTGTACTTTCATTTCAGATTCCCCTCTAAATAAAATAGCTTTATAGCCTAGATCCTGCCTGTTTGTTTGTTTGTTTTGATGTGCTAGACAAAACTCCCAATAGAATTATAGGGAGATGATTGGCTCAGGATTCTTTTAGGTCAACCAACCAGATCTAAATTGGATGACTTATTTTTCACATGGTTGAAATGGATATGGAAATTTTCATGGTTATGGCATGATGTTAAATCATGACATCATAGTCTTGCACTGAGCTGGGGACTCATTTCATCTGGAGGGATAATGTACTACTACCATATAACATTGGCTATTTTTAGCAGAGGTATGAGCCGTGTTCTCCAGGAGGTATAACCAGCTTAGTGAAAGCCATGCCCTGAAAAGTGAGATTAAACAAAAGCAAGAGAGAAGTACTTTGCAGATGATATTCTACCAGACTTTAAAACTATATAGATATATACCTACATAAACCCCAAAGAAAATATTTATATTTCATTAGCCATTTAATTCTTCATTGTCGCTAGTTTGCCAAAGTATATTCTACCAATAATATGAGCTAGAGATTGGCATCTGAGTGAGACAGAGTTCTGTTACTGGTTCCGTAGGGTCTGAATCAGCTAAAAAGTAACAATTAGGGTAGCACTCACAGATAGAGGAGGCATTAGAAGGTAAAGCAATGGAAGAAAGTTAGTTACACATGAATTTTAGGTACTTTCTGATTCTCTTTTCATCCGCCAAGCTGTAGAGAACTGCAGATGGAAACCTAAAAAGGGTCTCAGAAGAGTTATTTCAAACTGTGAGATGTTTTGCATTTTGGGTTGGCTGCTTTTATTGTATTTTAGCACAGTTAACTTGAAAGAACATGCAAAAGAGAAATCAACAGCAAGTGAAATGACACCAAAAGCAGGAAACCCAAAGTAAGCATTATCTAAATATTTGATCTGGCAACATCTATATGATCTGCAAAAAGGTGCTATGCCATCCAAGAGTTGACTCTTCCTAAGGCCACAATCTAGATCAAAGGTGATCAGAAATCTTTAAGTTGATCAAAAAGACTAGTGGTGAAATCAAATGATAGAATCATAGAATATCCTGAGTTGGAAGGGACTCACAAGGACCATCAAAGTCCAGCTCCTGGCCCTGCACAGGACAACCCAAAAAATCATATCATTTGCCTGAGAGCATTGTTCAAATGCTTCTTGAACTCTGTCAGGCTTGGTGCTGTGACCACTTCTCTGGGGAGCCTTTTCCAGTACCCATCAAGCAGGACTGTTAAATACACTGCAGAAACCATTAGTTTTCTTTGACGTGGAAAGGATTAGCCAGCCTCAAGAGAACTGGGGAAACATAAATGGCATCCATGAAAAGTCATTTTGCTGCCTTTGGTTTTTCCAGCTCATGCTCTGTATTTCTGAGGCCCATGTAAACTGTGATTTCTCTTCTAAGGATTCACCATTACTAGTGTACTGAAATGCCTTATTACAGGCTCCTGAAAGAAAATGCACATGAGTTGGACCTGTGTTGGATCTTGAACCTGAGGGCCCACAGCCCGGAGACTCACTCTGTGCCGTGCTGCTCAGAGTGCCAGCAAGGCCCATGACCAAAAGGAGGTTTCCCTCCCTCCTCCCCCACTGGTACTGAAGTGACCATCTCGACAGTTCAAACAAAGCAGTATGAATCCTACCAGTAAATTTTCTCCAAGTCTTTGGCCTTGATAAAACAGTTCAGTTTTCAGGGTTGTCTGCAGAGTCTTCTTTCTCCTGTTACAATTTCTTTCTGGAGTATCTCACTGTTTCTTCCTTACCTGAAAACTATTTTCTGTCTTTCTTCCTTGGTTTATTGTAATGCTTTCTGATGAATTAGTTCCATAGTTGTTGCATCCTCACAATCAATAGAGGGAACATATTCCTAAGAGAAACCACACTCCCTAATACAGAAACTGAATCAGGCAGGCTGAAAACTAAACATAGTATGTGAAAGACCACAAAAATTGTCTGTTCCACAAGTACTGTGTGCTTGCACTGGGGATGTGTGGTAGGGCCATGGGCAGGAGGATAGATGATGTTTGCAAGATTATCTTCTGCCTTCTCCTTATATAAGCCTGAAATCAGATAGGTGATATTGGTTTAAGGTGCTGTTGCATAAGGTAGGTTACTTTGCTTAACACTGTGCTGGTGAAAACGGTGTTACTCTCTCCATGTAAACAAAGTCAAAGGCAATCACCATACAAACCATGCAACACTGAGCAAAATGCTGCACTAGACAAAAGCCAAGCATAAATTTAGTGTGGAAAATTATGGTCTGGCATTTTTAGAGAAAGGTTTTGAATATTCTACTCTCATACAACACAACTGTCATTAGACAGTAGTAAACAGTACTAGAATGTATCAATGTTGAGAAGTTGGGAAAATTGCATTGGAAAATATAGGGATTGTAATCGTTTTTAATGAGTCTTCAAATATGACAGTGTGATCAGTAATAGCACTGGTACCAAAGAGTACTGGTCCTGCAGCTATCCTGTGCCATTATGAATGACAACTTCTTAGCCTACCAAACTGCATCTGAGGTTTTGAACCTCTCTGTTTTAGTTTCATATTGTGTGAGAGTTACTAAGATTACTCTTGGATGCACAGACTTGCAAAAGAATGGCCTTCCAGCACCATTTTCTCTCCCATTTTCCCTCCAGCATCACTTCTGGCTTGCAGCACTCAAATGCTCTGATTACATCCCCAATTTACTGATACTGCAGTGGCTTGGTGCAACATATCTTGGTTTTGAAGCTGGGGAGTGTTTTTTCAGGGGAGGAGGGGGAAGCAGGGAGAAGGTTGAGCTTTTACAAATGAGGCTCCCTTGGTAAAAAACCCTCACCAATGTACACAATAGTCTTTGCCTGCATCAGACTTGCTATTACAGTAAAAGCCCACTTGCTGACACCAATCATTCCTGTAAAATTTAAGGCAACATCTTCGGGAGAAAAGATTTAATTAACACATAAACCCCAGAGTCACTATGACAATCTGCTTTCATGGTGATGGGAATGATCACATTTTTACCCACTGTCAATCCTTGAAATATAAGGGTTTTATGAATAATCTATAGTACATTTTTTTCCTTGCAGAATCAATCAGATTCTTTTGTTACTTTCACACAAGAACATTTCTTAGACATCTAGAAAAACTCTAAATTTATCTGGTGCCTTGAGGGGCTACCTCTGCTTGTGTGACAGGAGGTCTCTTGAGCATTTTGGGTTAGAAGCATGAAGGGAGGCTGAGCAATTCCATCCTAACCAAGATCCACATGAGACATCCCATTATTTAAATAGTGGTGCCCTTAGGGCAGTGTATGCAGAACCCAGTGCAAAAAAAAACCAAAACAAACAAAAAATCACCAAAAAACAACCAAAAAAGCCAGTGCTCATTGCAGACAATAAATAAAATGGTGGCAATGATTACCATGATGTAAAATTAGATTCATAAACTTTAACTGTGAGGCAGAAATAATGACCTTTGTAAAAAGCTTTGAAAAAAAAAAAGTCCCCTTAGTCCAATTGAAAAGATTGTGTCTAATACTACATACTTTCTTTTGACACCTTCTTCTCCTACCTGTTATATATCCTTGAAGGAAAAAATACAGAACCTTTTTTCCCCTGGGTTACATCAAAGTTGCTTCTGCATTACCGTGGCATAAGCTAGATTAGCTTGTAAGGTTTAATTTTATGATCTTTGGGGCTTTAACGTTGTTGAGAATAAATCTACGATCACCACTTAGACAGAGAATGTTGCATATATTGTTTTCACTGGACATTGTTATACAATTTCTGTATCCTTTTATTTCCTTAATAATTTTTATATGGTTCCATAGAACTGAACTACATCTAAGCAAGCTATGATCTCTCTATATTAGGGTTGGAATGTTCTTAATGCATCTTTAGAGTCGTAACAACTCTAATAACCTGAAATTTTTGCAAATATAAATTTTGCATCTAGATTAGTGCTTTTTAAAATGATAGCAGTCTTCTTGTGTTAGGCTTGATTGCAACCTGTTTTCTGAATTAAAAAATGTAAATGTGGCATTGACAAAGGTTAAAAAGATTTAAAGGGAGTTCTGTCAGCAGTGTATGCACACACTAAGCTAAATCCTATGTATCTAATCAGTGTCCTCTGGACTGTGTGCCTTGCTCCATTGTTTACTTTCAAATCCATAATAATTTTGTATCCTTTCACTGGGCAAAGATTCATTTTAAAAACTAATGAATTTAAAAATATGCTTTTCCCTTGTCCATTTGATACCGAGCCTGCAATTTGACTTTCATTGTTTGTTTCCCTCCTTGTCTCGTCAATCCTTTTCTTTCTTTCTGTCCTTTTACTTTATTACATTTTTTATTGAGGACTGAGATGAACTGGTTGCTGCATCATGGGCCCATTACACTTCCTAACAATTCCATTTACACCTTATTGTTTGTCTTATTGCTGGAAAATTCAGGTGATTCATCATGCCTGAAGAAGCACCTGATCCCAATTCCCTTGATATCACGATCACTATGTGACAGGAATACAGTTAGTGGTGGCTTTCAGGCTCAAAGAGTCCAAGGTGATAACTCTTTTGGGACCTTTAGCCTCTCAAGTATTGATGAGTTCCATTTTTGTAATGTTCTGTTTTCTTGCTCCCTTTCAACAGCCCCCTGAGTGTGGAAAAGGGCTTGGAGTTAATAAAGGAAGTGGCAGATCTCCTGAAGCTGCAGATGAGTGTCTTCGATGATGTCAAGTATGTACATGGAATTTGCTCCTTTTTATTTGATTTGATTTCTCATTATTTTTGAATAGTTTGTCTTACAAGGAGATATGTGCTCTTTAATGCCAAAATTAATGAGAATGTGCAAGAGGCAAAAGAGAGCATTGTGATGATCTTTGTAACGTTTCCTACACACAGGAACAAATTATTTTGAAAGAATTATAAAGACTGAAACTTTTCTGTGCTTTCATAGTGAAAAATATTGAAATATGTTCAAAGTGCTGTAAAAATATTACCAACCTTATGTAAAAGCTTCTAGGTAAGGAAAGTCTTGTGAAGGGTCATTATACGCAGCATTGCCGAGGGGAAAAGTTACATCACAGATGAATAAAGAATTTGAGTCCCTGGCTTTGAGTCTGGCACATGGCACCCTGGGTCGTGCTGCTTGGTCAGCTACTTTAATTTAAAAAGTCACAGGGAGTTCAACTATGTTGAGCTACTGTTTTTCCTCCTATGATTCATACTGATGAATGCTCTGCATGGTAATGTCATGAACTAGGAGGTTATGGATCTGCTATGTCCAGTAAAGAGCTTTAGAGTGAGGATTTTCTGAAAGCATTTTGGTAGGAACATTTACTTCACAAAACTTCATTCTTTCTTTATAAAACAGAAAATAAAAGTAGTTTGATATAAAAGGAACGGCAAAGAAGGGTGAGCTGTGGGAGGGTTTCAACAACTTGCTGGAAAGAGCCACATCTTGGGTGCACAGAAAATGACTGATGTCCTGGTAGCCTGGGTTTCAGAGTGCTTGGGGCTGCTTGCTTTGGCCCATGGGTTGGGTTGCTGAAGTGCAGAGTCTTTCTCAGCCTCACTTGTGCTGACATCAGCTTTTGTTTAACTTTCAGTTGCAGAATTCATTGTTTAATGCTCTAAGTCATAGTCTGATGATGTTTCATCTATAGTGGAAGTGTTTATTCTTAATTGGAAATAAAATTCTACCCCTTTTATTACTGTATATGTATGGAAAAATAGACTACTGGGGAAAAAAATCTTTTTAGAAACCTGAAAAATACCAGACACGTTGACTTTAATTATTGAGAAGGAAAATAATCCCATATTTGTTTGCTTTGTTTGATGAATGTTTTTTGGTTGTATTTCATGAAATACATTTTTATGAAAACTGAGTTTTTAAATTACAAATCCCGATGATATTCTATTATCTTCCCTGTAAAGAGAATTTGCATCCTTGACTTTGAACACTAGCAGATAAACTGCTGCACATTTAAAGGAGTAATCCCATGGAACAATTTGTCTGCTGGAATCAGCGGGTTCTGCATCATTAACTTCATTCATTTACAGTACAAGAGCACTTTCACCTACCTTTCTGATTGTTAGTGTAAAGCCTTTTGGTTATTTTTTATCATTTGATAAATCACAACAACATTGCAACTGGTAGACTGTAGATTCGTTCTCTAATGAAAAATATCCCTCCAGAAATATGGTTAGCTATGATGAACCTTTTCTTTATTTTAATGTGCAAAATTAGGGAAGATGGTTATTTTGCATCTATTAATATGCAGTGATATGACTGTACTGAAAGTACCTGTACAGTCAGTATCTTAAAAGTATGTTATGAGTTACGGTAACTCCAAACACAACTGAGAATTCTATTTCTGCGGTGTTTTTATCAGTCTTTGCCTTTTTAAATGATCTATAAATCTGTGAAAGGTTATCCTGAATCTCAGATTAGTGAGAATTCATCCATAATAAATTTTCTTTGTCCAAGAGAATGAGACACTTTGACTCAGGTTAAACCCATGAAATACTGAAGAAATGTGGAGCTGTAGATATAACAGCATTAGAGTCTCTAGAAAAAGGCCTTGCCGAGAAAAGGGTTAACAATTTTTGGATTTGTTGTTTTCTTATCACTGCATCACTGTCTAGAAAACAGTGTGAGTTTGAGGACTCTGGTTGGCTTCTGAGTGGCCTCATGGACAAGAGTTTCAGGAAAAACTTGATGCCGTGTCGTATCCACAACTGACATATCAAAGTGTGAGAATGAGGTCTTTCAGAAAATATGTTTTCTACTTGGGCTTTGGAATCATGGGTGGTGATTTGCATTATTTTATTTCACTGGCAACTAAAAGTATTCTTTTTCTTGGAGATTCATATTTTTAAAATATGGGTAATTTATGTAGAAAAAACTACCAGTGAGGCTGAAGATGAAGGATTTATTAAAGGGGTGGGAATTTGTTGTACTAGCCTACTTTGAACTTTGACCTGAGTATTTGCTTGGTCTAAAATTCTCAGTTCTCTCTTTTCTCTCCAAGAATTCCTAATGGTTCGAAAGTAACAGTGTAGACTTGGATTTTTTTAGATCCTTGCAGAGATTTCAGAGTAAAGACATGTTAATGAGGATAATGGGGTTAATTTGAGAGTGTAGACAAAGTCATCACATCAACCTGGAATAGTGTAAGAACTGAGGAGAGAGGGCAAGTGGTGAGTTCTTTTAATGCTCTTTAAATTCTCAGTTAAGAGTTTCTTGCCCTTTTCTCTGAAAAAAAATACATTAAAGGGACTTCACTAAAAAATTACTGCCTTTAGTTAGTTTTGTCTGCAAATATCTTTCACTCTTCCCTATATATTGCTATGGATTCCTATCAATTCCCCCTGTTAGCTCTTGATTAGTTGATGCATGGTTGTAATCAGCTTATCTTATCTTCTGTCTTTCACAATCCTGCCAACTTTAACTGATAGCCTTCAATTCACAGTATAGCCTCAGGCTTGACTTCCAGAGCACTCAGTCCACTTCTTCAGCTGATTTGTTGTCAAGTTTGCATTGACATAAACTTTGCTCACCCTGGGAAGCAGATGAGTGGGAATAGATTTAGGGAATTCGTAATTAGAAATATTTCAACGTTGAAAAAAAAGATCCAACATGTTAGTTGTCACTTTTGGACACAGCCTGAATCTTTATGGAGGTAATAGTTATGCTTAATATGTTTTGTTAATGGTTATGTAGCTGTCAAATAAATTCCATTATTTCTTATTACATCATTAGAGACCATTAAAAGGATATTAGCATGCTGATGTAATTATGCAAGCAGACGTAAAATGACTATAGTTATGATTTTATAATCTAATTATTGGTGTCCAATGCCCCTGGTGATTGATTGTTGGACTGGTATCATGGATTGAAGTCAGATGGGTAGTAATGTTAGGAGGGTTTGTACCTATTTAAAAAAAAATATGACTTTGCAATCTGCAACATTGACCTTCTTCATGTAATTGCAGTTCTTCAAGTGTTATAGAATAGACTTACAAACATGAGACTTTATCAAAAAACATCCAAATACAATAAAAATACCAAACTCTGTAAGCTCACCTTTGAAGGTAGTAGAAAGGATGCTTAGAATTAAAAGTCAAAGCCACTGATTAGAACATAGATGACTTATTTGGTTTCTGATGAGAATACAAATTATTTCCAGATTTTTGTTTAATGTTCTCATATTTGGGGTATTTACTGAGAACTTTGCTAAGGGAGTTTTCAGCTCTGGCTTAACTGAAGACCTTTGTACGGAAAGAAAACAGATTATTCTGATTTCATCGTATTTCAGACCTTATATCCTACCATTCTCAGCCTCCAGTTAAGAGTTAGATTTTCACCGAATATTGCATTCTCTCTAGACTGATATGATTTTCACAATTGCTATTGAAGGTCTTTCCCTCTAGGTGTCTCTTTTTTCCCCATTTTGTTCTGCTTTAACTTCCTCCACCCATTCATCTTAATGGCATCTTTGTCATTTTTGCCTTCAAATATACTTCAACTCAGTACTCAAAGAACTGTCCTTTCAGGAGATGTGATAACTTGACTAACGTTTCCATTTCCATATATAATTTTTCAGTGGAAAACCGGTATCAGAGCACTTTATATTCATTCCATAAAATTACATTAATCTCTATATGCTGCTGTTGTTTTGAAGTGTAACAATTGACTATATGTAAGCATATAATCTAGATATATAATGTTGGGAATGAACAGGATACTTAGGCTACATTTCAGATGGTAATATAAATAGATTTTTCAAGTTGAAAAAGCTGATTCTGGTTATCTAATATAATGTCCTGGATTGCAAAGCCATAACATTTAACCAGTCTTCCCCTATCATGAATGGTTTGTTGCATCTATATTATACATCCAAAGCTAAGTTAAAAGACCAAATCACTCATCTTTCAGAGTCTAAAGCTCCAGCACCCAGGATTAAGGTTGATTGTTCAGCTTTCACCTGACAGTGCTCCCTACCCACACTGAGGCTACAGATAATTCAGTGTTTTACTTGAATAGCTTATTATACAAAAAATGAAAATTCAGGTAACTGAAGGTATGTAGGGAAACTGTATGAAGACTTCAGTTGAAAAATACCTTTAAAACTTAATAGCAGACAAAGTAGGGTGGTCTGTGTTTTAAAAGGAAAATCCTATAAATTCAAAGTAATGACTAGTTTCAAAATTTAACGGTTTGTCTTATAAGGAAAATACTTTTATTTTAGTGATAATAATAAACAAAAATTTGACTTCGGTCTGAACTCAAGCCATTTTTTCTTAAATTTTTTGTTTGTTCAGGTGACTAATCTTTTGAACAACTCTACTTATGATACAGTACTGAAATATTCAGTCATATCTATATATTTTTCTGCAGCTATCTGTACTATCCACAGCAGAAAAAAGATTACTTGGTTAATGAGTAGCTTTTCAATGTTTCATTTTATTTTCATTGTTCAGTGTGTGAGTTCAGGTTTTATTTGTTGCACTCTATTAAAATTCTGCTTTAAGGTCAGAAATCCCATTTCCTTCTGCTTTGGTTTAGTTTTTTTTCCTATGGTGCTCTTCAGTACACTATCAAAATGCTTGACAAACATGAAGCAATATATTTAACTCATATGAGATATGGGGTTTTATTAGGACCACACATAGCTGGAGTTATGCATGAAAAGATTACTGTCAAAGCATTTGCCAATACGTGTCCAGTGTGA